AGAAATAGAAACAGAAACAAAAATAGAAACAGAAATTAGAAATAAGAAATAGAAATTAGAAATAGAAGGCAGAATATGCTGAGTTGGGAGGGACCCCCAGGGATCACTGCCTGTGAGAACCATTCCTGCAAACCCCCCCTTCCCATCTCTTCCTTGTTCAAGGTCTCTCCCACTTGTTCTGTCTCCTCTGGTTTTTTGGAAGGATTGGGGTTCAATGTCTCCTGCCCAGCTCCTCAACAAGCCAGATTTTCAGCCCTGTATTTGCCTCCCAGGAGCTGAAAGCAGCACCTTTTTTGCAGTTTGTCCCAGCAGGACTGGGAACATTTTTGGATAACGGGCCCGGATCTGAGAGGCAGCAATTCCCTGGAGGGCCAAGGGGGTGGGAAAGGGCAGGAGCAGAGGAGCTTGGGGGCTGGGAGGGCCTCAGGACCCCCCAACCCTGTCATTTGATCCATGGAATTCCAGGGCTGGGCGCCCTGGGCTCAGCCAAGACTTGTTAGGGAACCAAGCCATTGTTTTCCCGAGAAACCCCGGCAAAACAGCCGGAGCATTCCAGTGGAAAACTCAAATAAATGTGCTCTGTTCAAGGATAACTGGGCTCTCCTCTACCTGGGGCACTGGCAGAGCTTTGGATCTTTGCCCAGGTCAACAATTCCACAATTAAAGCTGGAATTCCCAAAGCCAGCTTCCATGGCAGCAAGCTCTGGGGCAGAAAGAGCCCCAGGGGAATTCCCAAAGGAGCAGATCTTTGGGAGCAGGTACCTTGCCCCACGTCTTTGGGAGAAGGAAGGACGCCACACTTGGAGTTGTGGGTGCTGTTGCCTCGGCTGAGCGTCACAAACCCCGAGCTCTCACAGCTGCAAGGAGAACAAGAGGCACATTTGGAATATCCCTGTTTTCCCTGATCCCTCTTTTCCCTGATCCCTCTTTTCCCTTCCTTCCTCTCTTGGCTCCCCCTTTTCCTTCCCCTCCCTCCTCCCACAGCTTGTTTCCTTGAATCCCCTTTTACAGCAGTGCAGGTAAAGCTGTTGCTGTTCCCCCACGTCACAACTGCTTTATATTCCCATTTTCTTTACTCTCTTTGTTTCCAGTTTGGAATAATGTCCCTGTCTGGAATAATTTTTCCATCAGTCTGAGCTTGACTTGGAAGCAAGTTGAAAACCCAGCAGTTTGTCTTAAGTTCTGCTTTGAGACTAACTAAAAAATCTAAAGAGACACATCTGGATTAATTTAAAAAGCTCATCAATTAATCTCATTGGTGATCTTGTCTTTGATTGGGTTTTGTTTTGTAACGTCAGCATTAAATATTTTAATTGCTCTTTAAATGTTAATTAATAATAATTATAAATATTTTT